CTCTCTCTCTCTCTCTCTCTCTCTCTCTCTCTCTCTCTCTCTCTCTCTCTCTCTCTCTCTCTCTCTCTCTCTCTCTCTCTCTCTCTCTCTCTCTCTCTCTCTCTCTCTCTCTCTCTCTCTCTCTCTCTCTCTCTCTCTCTCTCTCTCTCTCTCTCGTCTTCCCCCTCTCCTTCACCCTTTCTCGTCTAGCCTCCGTAATCCAAATTCGACTCTGGCACGCGGCGTTTCGTCCTAAATAATCGATCCATTTTTCCTCTTCATTACGAGACGTTTTTCTCGTAACCAGCGCGCTCTTCTTTCTCCTATTTTCTTTTCTCGTTTTCCCTCTTTTTGAAGTGGGCACGAAGCGACAAAGAGCGGGCGAGAGCTATCTCGTTGATTTACTGGCCGCTGTTCTCTTAACTGGAGTAGTAAATGGAGTGAATGCGGAGAGTAAATAGCCGGGAGAACTTACTTGTGGATTCTAGATTTAAATCGGTCATTTCTGATACACGAACCACGGCCGTGGGCGATCTGCACGCTATTCCGTGCAGAATGGAAATATAGACGAGTGATTATTCTCGGATTAACTGCATTGTGGAAGTTGTTTCCAATTGCGTTCTACGATTCTATTACTATCGTGATCGGGATTACTTTAAAATTCTGTTTCGCGGTACAGCAAGAAAAACATATTGACATCTTTCTGGATCGTTTTTTTCACTACAATCTCACGTCCATTATAATTCAATAATTTTACATATACAATCTTTATTTTAATTTTTTTTTTAACTAATTATCTTCCGCGTGCGCAATTTGCAATATTTTTTTCGCTTATAAATCTCGTTATAAATAACTTCTCCAATTTACACGCTCCCTCTTCTTAATTACATCTCTTAATTACATCCGCCTCTCCCTACCTTGGTGAGATTGATAGAAATTGACTCGAATTGACTCGAACTCGAAAAGCGTGCATAGCTCCGATGGCTTTGTACTTCTGTTTCTGGCGTCCAAAAAAGTAAGTCCGCGAGTCCAGGGTATGGGACGCACGAACCGAGGAAAACGGATGCGGAAAGCGACGCTCGAAATTCGCACGGAACGCTATTCTACAGATCACCCCGACGGCACGGCACGTCATTTAACGGTCGACCGTTCGAGAACCTTTATATCTCCCGGCTGATAAATTATATATCGTCGCGTGTCAAGCGTTCTCCTGTGACAATTCGCAATTATCTTACGTAGCTCTCCAAATGTACGTCCCTACATATCGTATCGACCGAGTGAGTGTAACAGACTCGTTTGAAAATCCTTGGAATCTATATGCGTAGTACGTAAAATCGTCCTCGAACGAATTCATGGACGTGCAAACTTCGTGCAAGGTGAGAAGTTACTCTGTGAGCGGTAAGTCGTACGACAATGAACGAGGGATTCCAAGAGAGAACGGCCGCCCAAAGAGGAAATAGCTCCGAAAGTAAACGACCTAAACACGTGAACCCTTGGGTCCTTGTCTCACGGAGAAGATAAGGCAGAAAGAACAGAAGTCCATTAGGAGAGTAAGCACATAGCCGTCGTACTTTCGAGAATTGATTATAAAGTTGACGTAAACGACGGCAAATAGAGCAACCGGCAAGGAGCGGGAGGAAAACGAGAAAAAGCTTTTCACAACTTTTCCCCGATATTGAAAGTTCAAAACTTCGGCCAAAGCAGATATTTCTGCGGCATCCTAGATATATCGTCTCCTATGGTCGCCGGTTATTTCTGGATTCACCCAGATTTTGAAAGCGACCGGAATCCCCAAATAATCAACAAAGGAGAATAACGAAAATCGTCTGCGTTTATCGATATTTATCGGGCATGTGAGAACGTGTATGTGTGTGTGTGTGTGTGTGTATATTACACAAAGGATCGTAAAAAAATCCTTCTCCCCCTGGTCACGGCGGGTATTCTCGCGAGTATGGAGAAGTTTCTTTTCGTCGAATAACTTTTTATCAGTCGCGTGCGAAAGACGCGCCACGTGGTAGAATCGCGAAACAAAAAATACTCCAAAAGGATCCACAGATGAAACTTCCTTCCTTTTCCTCGGGAAAAGTTCGGCAGGTTTTCCGGATCTGAAGACGCCAGTCGCTGAGCCCGCCGAGGATCGCGGAGGATCGCGCCGGCCTATACCGAACTATTTTAATAACTTGGTGCCAAATGGCAAACCGAGCCGCCACTGCAAATACATACGACAAAACGATACGTCCCTCCGTCGCCCCGAGTCGTCCCCGCCCGGTTTCCTCCTCGTCGCGGCGTCACCGGGCCATCCCTCCACCCACGGCGAAAAGGCGAAAATACATTCTCACTTCGACAGGGATGCAGCGCGAACGGCTCCACCCTTCGCCGCGCGGTCCGTCGCGCGTCTTCGCGACGGAGAAATGATCGGCGAGGGGGACGGTGAGAGGGAGGGGGGAGGGGGGAGGGGGGCGGGGCGGGGAACCAGCCAAGGAGTCCGCGTTTATTTATAGGTTTACAATAACGTAAGTTGATGAAGCGCCAGGCGACGGACGACATGGACTGCGTGAATTGTCGCGACGCGTATGTATGTACGATCCGTGCACGTGCGCGACGTGTAAATCTTGGGCCGTCGGTTGTTTTGTGTGTAGCGCCAGCGAGATGGACCCGCGGAAATAGAAGAAAAACAAACGAGGACCGTCTAAGAGAGACTCGAGATATCACCTGATTGCGCACGGATTCGTTACTCCCTCCTCTTGGACATCCTCAGGGGAGAGGTAAAAAAAACAATAAGTCCTAAAAATACACGCGCGTGACTTTGTCATTGCATGACTATATCCATATGATTTCTTTTTTTTTTTTTTTTTTTCTAATATAAGTACCGAGAGATTACATGTGTCCGATATAGGAAGCTCGACGATATATGTATATTGAGAGTCAATTAATTGTAACGTAACATCGGCTAAAGTTGTAACTCACCTTTTTGCTAGATTTGAAGACGTTACATTTGAAGGTATTGCTGCTCCCGTCACGGGCAATGTAACTAAATATTTTCAAGTCATGGCTGTCGTGCGAGACGTAGAATATCCTGGAGAAAGAAAAAGATGAAGTTTCAGTTTTTTGTTTTATTCAGAAATTAATCGTAAAATTTTAATATTACGCCTGTTTCTAAAGTTGAAGGCAGGTACATCGTGTCTTCACAATGTTAAAACCGTTGCGCGATATCTTTTATCGCAAATCATTGAAGTGCCGATAAGGCGATCTCACCTGTAAATCGGGTGGTGCATCAGATATATCTTGTTCTCGTCCATCCATTGTTGCTGTTTTTTCTGCAAAAACAAGCAGTCATTCGTTACATCGAGAATATTGTTGGCTAATATCGACCGATCTGCGCCATATATGTAGAGCATCAAGATTATATGGCGCCTATGTGTATCACAGCGAAATACTACGTGGCGCTTGCCAAAATCATTTCTCGTTATAAGTCGCAAGTGTTACGAAATGCGCGTCATCGAGTATACGCGACCCTTTCCACCCCTCCCACCCCTTCTGATATTCGTGCTCGTCTTTATTTTGCGCTCAATGCTTATGCTCAATGCCGCTAAAAAATATTTTCAATAGACAAGGGTTGGACAAACTCGCGAACGATAGAATTGCGTGCAAAAAAGTATATTTATCACTAGAAATCATTATCTGGAGAAAGCATTAAATCAGACTAGATTTTCCGAGAAAAAAACAGCAATCCTCTCCCTTCTATTAAATACAGATCCTTCGAGAATCTTTTTAAGAATCGAATATTTAAATTGCGGAAAGAATACTATCGTTGTAAATCGTTATGTGGAGAAAACAGAAATGAATTGAATCAGATTAGATTTCCAGAAGAAGCAATTCCTTTCTTCTATTAAATATAAATCCTTTGAGGATCTTTAAGAATCGAATATTTAAATTGATTCATCATCATGAAATCTGTACACGGTGCGTCTCAGCATAATTGTTTTGCCCCCGTTTCTTCTTTTACATACCATTGAGACTAACAGACTCATTTCATCCACTTGTACATGTACGAGAATCAGCTTATCCGGCTTAGATGGAAGTTAACGAGATGATTTGAGATTAAGAGCGAGACAACGCGTCCGACTTAATCTTATACAATGATCGCTGCCGAATGTCAAACGTTCCGAAAGAAATTACCTTCTTTTTCCGTAGGGTCACTTTCAGCCCGTCCACCGAGACTTCCAGCGTCACTTTCTTTTTCTTGATCCCTTTGGCCTTAAATTCGTACTGCGAATCAAACGGATTCGGATTAAGCCACGAATATCTACATCTCTACGGAGGCAGCTGTAACCACGCTGCCTCTTTAACTGGGTTAATTAGCTATTACGCGTACTCACGCGGATTCTTCGCATCGCCGCCACGATCTCCACTCGGCTAGTCGGTCGCGGAACCTCCATAGAGCCGATGAACTGAAATAGAAGAGCAGCATTGAGGTTCGCAATGAGGTAACACAATCAGCCAGCGATTCGCTGGATAAAGGGATGAGCAAACAATACGATGGATTTTTCTTTGAGTATTCATTTTATCTTGATAAATAGATAAAGGAGATTCGACTATCAATCAGTGATTTCTTTTTAAAATATTCAGATTAATTTCCTCGAGTATGATTAAAAAGGAGAATAATCTTGTAAAAAGAATAAGACAATTAAAATCTTTAGATATATATTTTTTTCTTTTAGCAAATCAAAGGGAATTACAGTCATTTGAGAGAGATCTGATCAGGATTCGATTTAGCTCGGTCAATGATCCACATTTCCTTTTAAAACATTAAGATTAATCTCTTCGAATGTTTAAAATGTCTTCAAATACATATTTCCTTTTTTTTTTTAGCAAATCAAAGGAAATTATAGTCATCTAAGAGAGACTGTTATCAGTCAGTGATTCACACATTTCTTTCTAAAATATTAAAACTTTTTCTTCTCGAATATGCTTAAAAAAGTGATCTAGATAATTAAAATCTCTTCAAATATAATACATTTCTTCTTTTGGAAAAAATCAATGAAGATCATAGTCATCTAAGAGAGATCTGATCAAAGCACTGACATACAACTTTTCGCGAAAGGCTAATTGCCTCGGCGAGACAAACGTCATAAACTCCAGTGAGATTTCGCCGTCACGCGGAACGCGGCCCGTTCGCATTTGTCGTGCACAAACACATATAGTGTCACATATAGTTGTATCGTTGCTATAATCATATCCGCGGGAGAAGCATCCTATGATCCGATCTGTATTTAGAATTCCCCCCATTGAAAACGATGGCCCCAGCCACGTGTTCGGGTGGGTGATTCGGCGCACACGTGGTATTCTCCCACGCACACACTTGCGACAGGAAGAGGATGGTGGTTTCTTCTGGTGGTAAATTTGCGATCGATAACCGCGGCGTCTCGCGATAAACGAACAGAGAACGAATTGAAGATAAGCCGCACGCGGAACCGAAGAATCCGGCGTCGTCTTACCTCGAGTGCGCGTTCCTCGCCACGATTGAAATCGATGTACGACATACCGTCGCTGAATCGAAATGGTATTTCGTTATCAGGAATATTTTCCGCTTTACATTTCCGTTAAGAAATACGCGCGTACTTACTTTATACATAGATGCAATATTAATAGCAAAGTTTCTCTCTCTCTCTCTCTCTCTCTCTTTCTCTGTGCAGGAATATCGATTTGTATTTATAGCCCCATTAAGCGCTAAAATCTGATTCTAGAATAGCATTGTGTTATGAACGCTTCTCATACGAAATACATCATATTTCGAAATTAATTTTTAATGCTCACTTTTGCCAATATAGATTAATTTCAATTTCTCCATTTAATTCTCTTCTTATCCTTTTTTTTTAATTGTAAAATTCAAAAAGGATAAACTAAAATTTATCTATATTATGAAAATGGATATAAATGTAAACGGACATAAACATGAATGTAATCTGTCTCGTCCTCTAATTTATTCACTATATCTAAATCAGTTTAGTCGCTTGGTTGTCACACAGAAAGAACAATTTTGCTGAAATATCTAAAAATTAAGCCAGATGTAGATCTGAAAATAATTTTATTGGACCATCAAAATAATCATGTAGGACATTTGGTTGTTAAAATATCAAAAATGTTTTCAGTATATTATTATGCTTAAACGTTCTATATAATAATTTTGATAGCTCAATAAAATTATTTTCTGATCTATATTTATAAAAACTTCTGCAAAACTGTTCTTTCTGTGCAATATATATATATTCATGAATTAATAAAATAAAAGAATATATTTTTTTAAATAACAGTAACAAAATTGTTATTTTTTTATTATAGATTTCATGTCATTAGAAGAAATTCATTGCTTGAGAAAAAAAAGCATAATTTTCTTTCGTACTTTGATTCGTGCCTCGGACGTTCGCAGAACGCTTCTCTTCCGATCAACATTTTCTTTCCGGTTTGCCCAATACAAACGAAGCATCGCTCCGGATTTTCTATACCAAGAATGCTTGTTCAAGATATCCCTTTAGAGACGTCTCTCGGATTTCTACGTAAGCGAGAATGTCAACGTCATGCACGCGTGGCGTATAGCAAACGTCAAAAATTCCGCGCGGTCGTTTTTCCGCAGGGTTGGAGACGGAGGAAGAGGAGGAGGGAACATGCGGAGATTTTACGAGCGCGTTGCGCGAGGCGAACACACAAAAGCTTTAACCTTTCTCAGGAGAGAAGTGCCACCGAAATAAACACGTGCACGATACGATGACGTCACGGTGAACGCGAAAGCGATGGACGACGTCGTCGTCCCGAAATAAGCCGCCCCGATATCGCCGGCTGTCGTCGCAATTGTTGCACCATCGTCGACGACGACGACAACAACGACGACAACGACGACGTAAAAATATTACTATTCCGATCGGGGAGCTTCCTAGAATCGATTTCGTTCGAGAGACAGAGAAAGAAAGAGAGAGAGAGATAGAGAGAGAGAGAGAGAGAGAGAGAGAGAGA